CGATACTAGAATATCTATCTTTTTATTATCTAGTATATAAATAGTCTACTACTTCTACTTATTCTATATATAATATTTATCCGCTATCTACCTATATATAGTAATCGAGCCCTACTTCTAGTTTAGGCCTTTTAGGGTATTCTTACTATAAAGCGATAGCGCTAATAGAAGTACTACTATTAGGACCGGCTCTAACGATATTATAGTAAAGGGGCCGCGAAGTATTACTATTTTCTTATACTACTACGATAGTAGATAATACTCTATAAATAGTTTATTTTATAAATAAACCTTCTAGTACGATATAACGAGTAGAGAAGCGTAAGCGAGGTTCTTCTATATCTACTATATAAGATAATTTACTATAATTTATTAGTTATTTTTAGATTTTTTAATATATCTAGAGTACTTCGTAGGATATTCTAATAACGTATAGCTAAGGGTCGAGATCTAGTCTACGCTCTAGTTTCTATAGATTATCTATAGAGAATACTATTATTATTAGATTATTTAGTCTTATACTATCTTTAGTCTAGAATTAGATCTTAATAAGTATCCTTCGATATATCGTCGACGAGAAACTAAAGACTCGACTATATTATAGTTAGTATTTTAGACTACTAATAAAGATAATAAATTATCTCGTCTCTACTTCTTACGAGATTTCGAGTACTCTTAAGGAATAAGATTCCTCTCGAGTATCGAAAGAGTTATTTTAGTAAAACTAGAAGATATTATAAATATACTTTCTATAGTATCGGCGGGTATCGAGAAGAATAAAGTAGATATATTCTAGTTTATAAGATTCTATAGCCTTATATCTTTAGATTAATTTAGTCTATTAACGGAGTATAGTTCCTTCTTACTCGAGATAGCTTTAGCTAATTTATTATAGCTATTCTCTATATAATTTATATAGAATAGGCCTACTATATTATCTATATATTCTATAATATCGGTAGGATAGGTCTCGATATCTATTAATATAGATTCGAGTAGCTTAGTATAAAATAGAATAAAGATATCTTATATAATAGCGTCTTAGTACGATTTAATAGAATTACTCTTATTTCTTAAGATCTCTTATCTATTCTAAATATAATTTTTTATTCTTTTCTAGAGTATCGAAGAGGTTTCGAGAGGGCTAAAAGTCCCTTTATTTCCTATTCTCTATATATCGAGAGAGTTAGACTATAATAGTCTATTACTACTTCTTTATTTCTATCTAATCTAGATATATAGAGAAATAATCTCTATTCTAGCTATTCTATTTAATACTCTCGAAATACTAATATCTTCGTTACTCTTTCTAGCGATAAGATATTATCTACTTAAAGACGGAGTAATCTACTCTAGAGAATTAGAAGCGAGAGCTACTTCGATTATAGTTTATCTCTCGTAGACTATCGTAGTCTTCTCTATCGATATCGCGCCGTAGAATATTAGCTTCTATTCTCTATTTCGCCGATATCTATTTACTAGTATTACTTTAGCTCTATAGCTCTTTTTTATCTTACTTAAACTATTTTCTAATTATTCTTATAATATTTATTATTACTTTAATATTATTAATAGCTTATAGTATATTAGAAAATTAAACTTATTATTAAGTATCTAAAGTACTTTATCTAAAGGCTTCGTTATACTATCTCTAACTATTTAGAGTTATATTTACTATATTCTAGTAAGTAATTAGATTATCTACTTATCTAAATTTATTAAGTAATATTATATTAGACGACTTTTATAAATAAGTAGATATAAGATCTTCTAGTCTATTATTTCTAGTATATATATACTAAATTATAACTTCTTTAGAATCCGAAAGGATCTAAAGTAGTTAGATTTAAATTTCTACTTTAATATATTATTTAGAAGGACGAAATCGCCTTCTTTAAGTAAAAGATATAGTATTTCTAAATACGTTAATCGTAGTCTTTAAGAGTAGAGCTCTCTCTTAACTAGTAGCTTATTTACTTCGTAATATATAGTATATAGCTATTTTAGTCTCGAGATAAAGTCGATATTAAGATTTAATAGATCGAATTCTCGTTAATCGCCTATTAATTAAGATTCGAGTCTATAAACGAGCTTATATAGACTTATTCTAGTTACTATATAGAATTTAATACGAGTTACGAATAACGTTAATAAAAGATACTTATTTTATAAGAGAATTTATTATCTAATAAGTTACTTCGTTAAAATCTTATCTAGTATTCTATTAAATCTTTCTATCTTTCTATTAATCTAAAGATAGTAAAAGATCGTTATATAATACTTTATCTTAACGCGATCGAGATAGTACTCGATAATCTTTAAGATTAGATTAGTGCTATTATTTAATAATAATTCTTAAAATACTCTATACTAGTAGTAGATTTCGAATAGAAAGTCGACGACTACTTCGTTCGTAGTATTCTTTATAATCTTTATTATCGACTAGTCTATAGAGAAGTTAATAGTCGTTAGAATCTATTAATTCTTATAGAGTATAGTTAATAGCGAGCTAACGAAGTCGATTATCTACTTCTTAAAGAGTCGGAAGATTTATTTAATCTACGAATATAGTTCTTTCTAGTTCTTCTTCTATCTCTAGACTAACTAGTATTAGTTATAAATTTAAGTATATATAAGAATATTCTTCGTTATAGATAGCTACTATTCGCGTACCTTAACGATATTTTCTATAACGGCCGCGCTATAGTATTTATAGTATTTATAATAATACTCGATAAAGTCTCGATAGAATAACGTAGGAATAAAGAAGACGAAGTAATTACTAATCTTTTAGAATAGATAATCTTCTTTTATAAAGTAT